AAAAAAAAAAAAAAAAAAAAAAAAAAAAAAAAAAAGCAGCCTGAGGAGCGAGCAAGTCACTTGCCTCTGTGTATGCTAGCCACATTTGTCGCCAGACTGCAGTATCCTCTGTAGGAAAGCAAGAAAGGTGAAGGTCTTGTATCCCAGATGTACCCTATGTGGATTGAGTTTGCCACACATTTGCAGTCTCTCCCTGTATGTGTGTATGTATGTATGTATTTGGAACTTCCTGGGATTGGCAGTTTCTGCTCTGCCCATAGGCAGTAGACCCATGAGCAGCCCTTAAGTGCTATGCCCATTTTTTTTTTTTTATCTACAAGTCTCTTATTTCATATTGATTTTGGTATCGGGATTATGTCCCTCCCTTTCTTCCAATTACCTTTGTTTTTAGTTGCTTTTCTCTGAGTAGCAGCAATGTGGCTCCTTCTCTACTCAGCAGTGTTGAATCCTGTTTATTCATTTTGCTTACCCAGTTTTTGATTGGGTATTTTAGTTGGGAGAGGATCTAATTTGGGGGAGATTTTTAATATATTGTTGATGTTAGTCTTCTGTGGAATATCTGACAAAATTTTTTTTCACATTCTGTAGATCGTCTCTTCTCTCGGTTGTTTCCTTTGCTGTGCAGAAGTTTTTTAACTTGGTATGATCCCATTTATTGATGATTGATATTTTTTCTTGAGCCATTGGAGCTCGGTTCAGAATGATCTTGCCTATGCTTACATCTTCAAAAGTTATACTTACTTTGTCTTCCAGCAGATTCTTTCTGTTTTAACATTTAGAACTTTGGTCCATTTTTTATTTTTTTTACCACATGATGACATATATGGGTCTAGTCTCAATCTGCTGCATGTAGATATCCAATTTTACAAGCATTATCTATTAAAGAGGCTAGTGTACATTTTTGGCCCCTTTATCAAAGATCAAATAACTATATGTGATATAGGGGAAAGAGATGTAACTCCCAAACCTGCAGATATCCAAAACATGAGTTCATGTTCTCTAAATTGAAGAATGAATTCTAGGAACAACAGAGGTTAAGAGTAGGAAATTTTATTGAGGGAAAGAAAGCTTCTGTCTGAGAGAGACAAAAGGGGGACCGGAAAATGGGTTGCCCACTCACCCTAATTTTCAAAGATGTTTTATACAGCAAAGCCATGTGGTGAGGCAAGTACAAAGTGAGACAAAACTGTAAGACACAATGGAAAATTACAAGGTGGGCAGGAGGTGGGACAAAATCATGACCAACCAATACAATTACAAGTACAGTCATCCAGGTAAGATTGATTAAATGGGGATCAAATGGGGGAGCAAGTCACAGAACAAGCATATACAAGATTTTCAGTAAGGGTGGGAGTCAGGGATATTTCCTGGAAAGCCTGGGTTAAGAGCTTGGTCCCCAACACATATTTGGGATATCAATCACTGCTGTTTATCCCCAGCAGAAGTGTAAAGGTATAGTGGTTTCTCTCCTTTTACAATTCTTGCCTTCAGTGAATGTGTCTTATTGTCCTCCATGTAGGCTCCTTGCTGTTGTGGCTCCTTGAGGGTGGCCCTGTCCAACTGCCTATACAAATATCTAATTAACTATCTATCTGCAATATATGTACTATATGTACCTAAGGTTATTTCTGCTTCTTATATTCTGTTCCATTGGTAAACATGCCCATATTTGTGCCAGAATCATGCTTGGTTTGTTTGTTTGTGTTACTTGGGATCAAACTCTGGACCTTGCCCTTGTGAGGCCGGTGATTGGCCCCACTGAGCTAAATCCCAGGTCCCTACCATGCTGTTTTAATCACTGTAGCTTTACAGTATAACTTCAAGACTGAGATTGTAATGCCTCCTGGTTTTCTTTGTTACCCAGGATTGCATTTACTATTCTGGGTCTGTTCTACTTCCATATAAATTTTAAGAATAGTTTTCTCTAGCTCCATGAGAAATTAAATTGGCATTTGACCAGGATTGCATTAAATCTATATATTAGTATTGGTTTTGTTGATTCTGTCTATTGAGGAACAGGGGGTATTTTTCTATTTTCTGATGTCCTCGATTTTCCCTTTCAATCTGATGCAGTTTTCATTGTAGATGTCTTTCACTTAAGGTTAATACCTAAGTATTATTTTTTTGATGCTGTTATGAATGGTATTGTTTTCCTACTTTCTTTTTCAGTGAGTTCTTTGTGTATAAAAATGCTATTGTTTTTTGTGTATTTATCTTGTATACTGCTACACTACTGAATTTGGTTATCAGTTCTAGGAGTCTTTTGTTGGAGTTTTTGGGGTCTTAATAAGTAAAGGATTATGCTTCCAAAAATAATGATATTTTGACGTCATACTTTTGTATACATATCTCTTTTGTTTCTTTCTCTTGCCTGATTGCTCTGGCTAATATTTTGAGGACTATGTCGAACAGGAGTGGTGATAATGTACATCCTTGTCTTGTTCCTGATTTTAAAGGGAAGGCCTCCGGCTTTTCCCCATTTAATATTATATTGGCCATATGTTAGTCAGAAATGGCTTTTATCATGTTCAGATAAAGACTTTCTATGCCGGGGATTTAGCTCAGTGGTGTCACCATCTGCCTAGCAAATGCAAAGTCCTGAGTTTGATCCCTGGCTATGTTGTCCCATGCTGTAGAGAACCTTGTAACTGGAGGGAGGGCATACATTTTCCAGGTTTTACTGGCACCAGCCCAGGGCCCAGCAGGCATCAGTGTCACCTGTGGGCAGGTTACTCAGTTCTTGGGACATCTTAGGTCCTACACAAGGCTCCAGACAACACTGTTGGCTGGGGACAGGGTACACACTCCCTGGGTCATCCAGGCACCAGCATGATGCTCTGGCCAATAGCCACAAATTACTACATTATTGAAAATCAATTATGTTAACATATTTTATCTTTAGAATGGCAACAGTATTAAATAGTTGATTTATAGTTGATGTTATTAATAGATTCACTGTTGAGAAGACAGCTAGCTATACACACAGATCTAATAGTGTGCTGTAAAAAATTATCTGTGATTTACTATTAAAGCCTTGAAAAGTGTAATTTTGTGCAGTAGGACAGATTCAGGGAGCATCAAAGAGAGAAGGTAATATTTGAATTGTTCTTGAAAGATTAAAAAGAATTTAGCCTATCAGGAATGGGTCAAAAGTGTGTTCTAGGCAGTAGCACACACTAAAACAAAATCTTGGGTTAAGGTAACACATATTCTGCATCAGTAGAATTGTGTAAGAAGAGTATAGTATTTGATGGACAATGATGGAAGACTGAAAATGATAAAACATTTCATGTACTGATTAAGGAATGTGAGCTTTATCTTAGCTACAGTGATTTACTTAAGCAAAGGCAGCAGAAATTCAAGCTAGTGATATAAAAGACTAACTGAGAAGGCTGGATTGCTGGGTTGTTAGAAATTGGAGGTAGTGGGAGGTGTTGCAATGTAAATTCTGAGGGTCTAACAGAAGTGAGAATAAAGAAAAATCAGTGGCATATCATTGTCCAAGAGGAAGCTTTAGTAAAACAGAGAGGAGGGGAAAGGCATCACTAGTAGCAACAGAAGGCAAAATATATCAAATGCTTACCATATGTGCTAATCTGTGTTCTGTTCTGAGTGTCTTGCAAAATTAACCCATTATCTTCAATATCCTGCGGGAGTAGAAACTATTAAATTACTCATTTTAGACTTGGAGAAACAGGTATGGAGAGTGACCTGTAGTTTCTAGTTTAATGAAAATGCCTTTGACTAAAATGAATAAGAAAAGGAACATATACTGGAAGAGAGGAAGAGGCTAGTTATATGTTTGCTAAAAATTTCCAGGCCCCTTCTTAATGGTATCCCTGTGTTGCCTCCATTTTGCCTGCTAACATCCAGTGTCTCATGACAGGGATGGCTTGCTAATTAAGTAGCCACTGTTGGTGATAGGGTGAAGGGAGACTATAGTATCTCCTATCATAAAAACTCATGTTATGTTTCTTATGCTCATTTTCATTGCATTATTTTGTAGTAGATATAACTTTATTATTCAAGTGTGAGTGGCTCATTGTTTTACTTTTTCTCTTCTTCTTATGACTGAACATATAGGGCTTTTATCAGTAACAACACTCTTCTTTCTGTAGTACTTTGAGTATTCTGCTCAACATGAAATTCGGCACAGCATCCAGAAAGAATTATGTCTTCATGCTGCTGCAGATCTACTTCAGCTGAAAACATGTGCCTACAAAGGTCACAAGACAGTTGTCACTGGAGAACAGATATGGAAACTCCAGAAGGTACCTCAGTGCAGTAAATTCACCCATTTATTCAATTATTTTAATTCACTCTAATGATTAACTGGAAAATATGTAAAATAGAGTACATTAATATTGTCCATCAGAATTTCTCTCTCTTTATTAACTTTGTTATGTGTGTCTGCCCATGTGCTAAGAAAATATATCTATTTAGTATTCCTAAGAATGAAGTAATCATAAAATTGCTTGGTGGAAGCTTGGTTTATGCAGCTCAAGAACTTTTGTGAATTATTAATAATAGATTCTCATTTTTTATTTTTTAAGATTTCTTATAATTCTTTTTGCAAAAGTTACTTTTTTTTCCCACCCAGGAGAGAAAAAAAACGTATTTATTTCATATAAAGTGATTCTTCCTCTTTATACTTTTCTGTGAATCTAGGATTTAGAGAATACATGACAAATCTTTTGTTTTTAAATATATATTTAAAGCTTACATGGATCATAGCAATTCTTATATAAAAACTGTTTGGTATAACACTGAAACACCATAGGACTGGCTTTTATGATTTGAGTTTTTTAGTTTGTCACTTATGAATAAATCAATAGAATGCTTCTTGCTTGAATATTTGATTTAGATTTTTGCTCTTTTTACTTATTTTTATTAATAATACATAATAATGCCTTATGTTAATTGAACCACTAGTGGCACAGATGTATTTTAAACCAACTGTATTTTACCAATCATAGTTGATCTTTGGAAGACTTAAATGTCAGAATAGTATACTTTTAGTTTGCAGGTCTCTCTTTTGCTTCAATGAGATCTTAAGTCATTTGCATATTTCTCAGTTAATTACAAGTCTTGAAATTTAATGTCTTGTTGTGTTTTCTTTTATTCTAGGATCAACTGCTATATAATCCATTCTTAAAATTGTGCCTTTCAGCAAATGGAGAACATCCACACTTAGTGTCGTGCAATCCATCAGATCCACTCCAAAAATGGATTTTTAACCAAAATGATTAAGTGTTCCTTAAAAATAAGGAGTTGAAAATGAATTTCTTTCTCATAAAACTGTGACTAGGCATACACTGTAGTTTTTAGAAATTATGCAAATGCAGCTAATTGTAACTTATTCCAAGTGCATTTTTCTTATTTATATCTTCAAATGTCTGTGTAGCACAGCTACAGAAAACCTGTATCTGTTTTAAAGCACAATAACTAGTAATACCAAAGACCATTTTGAAATGTCCAAATGCAGATGTAGAAGAGATGTTTACAGAATGATGACAATAATTTTCCTAGTAGAGATACTTGCGTGTTTTGTACACTCGGGGATATGCATAGTTACATTCATATACTCACTATGTGACTTCCCTTATCTGTTTTGGGGAAGGAAAAAGATCTGATACTGTATTTTTTTAACCATATAGCAATGGATTGATAAAGGTCAAACAGTGGCCTTTGTTTAAAAACCAGGAAATTTTTATAGATCTAGAATTTATTATTTTTTAATGCAGGTAAAATTATTTTGTGTTTTGTTTTCTTGTGTGTCAAATGTTTCCTTAAATAGGAAGTTGAATAAGAAGAGAATATTTTTTAACACTTGAGTTCCTTGGCAAATTTTTAAATATTTAAAAATCTGAAACCTACTCTATTTGATGCACTAAATGGCTTTTCTTAAGTAAATATAGTCTGTGCTTTTCCAAAGCAATTTAAAAAACTTTATAAATTATTATCTCTTGACAAGGTGTCCTTTTCCTTCCTACTAGTCTTTTTCTTCTTACAAAAATTTACTAATATTGAATGTTTGTGACATTGATTTTTAAATGCAGAATACTTGATTTAGTACTAAATTTTATTTGTTATTGATTCATTATAAATTGTCTTTGTAATTAATTTTTTCATAAAAACTTATTTTTATCTATATGAAATATACAATAAAAATCCTAATTACTATTATAATTACTTGTTTAAATTTTCTTCCTCTTCTCCATAAAACCTGTACTTGATAATAGATGGGAGAAATATGAATTTTGTATTTTGAATTTCTAATACCTATTGTTAATAAAGCCATAAGATTTTCTTAAGAAAAATTCAAACATTTGATAGAAGCAGCGTAAAAATTAGGGAATGGCAAAGATGCTATGTTAGATATATAGCAAATTTTGAACAAATTACTAAAAATTTTCCTTGGGCATCTGCATCTGATACAGTGATTATTATTATATATATATTTTTGATGTGTTTACTTGGGAAATTTAACACTTTTTATTTTTGGTAATTTTATAAATAGATCCCTTATATTCTTATCCCAGAAGTAAAATATAATGGGTTTTATATTTTAAGTCTGGCATTCTCAAACATATACAAGAAAATACTTCTTGACTATTGCCCCCCTCTTTATTGTTTACAACTTTAAACTTTTATTCAAATTCTTGTATTCTCTGATTGATATGCCAAGTTTACTTAAATTCAACTAATATTTATTTTGTGTCTGATTTTGTATCAGAATTTTCTGTGAACACAGTTAACACTTACTATCTTTGAGCTCTGGAACTCAGATAAAAGACCTTGACCCTACAATGGCATTTTTGTAGATGTATGTTTGTGTGTCCATGCATGTTTTCATTTAAAATATTTTTTATATTGATCTTTTTAATAGGTTTCTATTTTAACTACTTTTCCATATCATTAACCATCAATCCAGGTGTGTTGGAGAAGAGATTTACCCTGCACACATAGTCACTTTTGTTCTCTAGTTTTCTGTAATATGTAGGGAACATGTTTGTGTCTTACTGACCCTATTAAGCCTTGAATAATAATTTACAAGATAGTGCCTATCCTCATAAAGGTCGTATGCCAGGAATGTGGTCATCAGTAGAGTGACACAGTATAATGATGTTTTGGACAGAAACAGTTTCATGATAGAGTTAAATAACATCGGCTTCTGGTGAGACCTCTGGCTATAGACAGAGGGGAAAACAGAGGGCCCGATATTTTGATGGTAAATATTTAAAAGAGCACTTCTGAAACTTTATTGTATACACCTTGAGATCTTATTAAAATGCAGATTCTGAATCACTAATCCTGGAGAGAAGCCTTTGATCTGTGTTTCTGTCATGCTGTCAGGTGATGTCAAAGCAGTTTGCTCTGGAACTGCACCCCCCCACCACCATACCAGGAATTGATAATCTCGGGCACCACTGGAACTGCATTTTGAGTAGAAAGTATATACATTCAATGCCTAGGGCCCTTTGACACCACAGTGATGACTTCCACCATACTTCATCTCCTTTATATTTTTAGACATCATCAGAAGTTAAAGATTTCATCCATTATTGTCATTCTGGCTTGCTGGAAGAATCTGCATCCTTTGTATATCTCAATTGATCACTCCCCACCCTCTGATCATCTGCTCTGGCAGCATTTATTCCTATTATTTGATCAGAAAACTCTCTTATATGAAAGTACTGTTCATTGTTCTGCCTGAAATAAATTGAACATCTCCTAAGAATACCTTTTTCTATTCGTGAGAGGGCTGTTGTGTTTTGTATTCTATCCTTCCTCTTAGGCTTCAAGGCTAGGATTTGGAATGCATTTGTTCTTTCTTAAAAAACAAAACAAAACAAAACAAAAAAAACCCTCAGTTTATTGAAAGCAATGCTATGCGCATAACTTTGTCCTCTGTCCTGTTGTGCTGCTGTCCCTCACTTATGGAGCATTTTGCATGCCTCATTCCATCTATCAGCTCAATATTTTATTCCCTACTGGGCTTCCTTTCCTTATATTCCTTTTACTGTTATCCTCATGGGCAAATTCATTGCCCATCATCCTGAGCTGTAGGCACTCAGCCTGCTGTGGCTGCCACCAGGACTTCTTCTCCCTAGTAGCCTTCCCCACTCCCACAGCTTGGTCACTTCACCTCTCTCTCTGTTCTCATTACTTCGTCTACAACGTTTTTGTAACTCTTTGAGACTTTCAAACCATGGATCTCTAGTCTGTACTTTGTTACAGACTTGTTTTAATATTTTACAACTATGGAATTTGTTCATCACACTTACCCAGAAGACCTTATACCCTGGGTCAAGGAAATATTTGCACTCACCAGCCCTGCACCCCAACCTCTGTCTTAGTTTGCTTTTCATTTTGGAAGAGTATGTCATATCGTAATTTTCTGGAGAAGGTTTCAGGATACATTCAGTTTTAAAATTTTATATCTAAAATGACTTTATTCTATCCTCACATGTAATAGTATAGATTTCTTGGGTGGATTTTTTTTTTCTTCTGTTGAAGGTTTTACTTTATCTTCTAAATTCCAGTACTGAAAATTCCAATGCTCTTTTTAATTGTAATATTTTTATTGTTGACCCTGAATTAGTGATCTTATTTTTTTCTTCTTGAATACTTACATATCTTTTTATTACTCCAGTGTTCTAAAATTTGACAGAAAGCCTTATTTCTATACATTTTGTTGTTTCTTTAATGTCTTTAAATTCTAAGAAAATTTCCAAATATTTCTTATCTCTTTTATATTTGTATTTTGTATCTCTTTTGCATTTTCAGTTTCTTTCTGGAAAGTTTATTATATCTGACCCCTAATATGGTAAATCTGTAACTGATCTCTGAATAGAAAATTAGGTATTTTTTAGTTTACTTTTCCTCTAAATTTTCTATTGAGTTTTTTATGTCTATCATTTAGTTTCCAATATCATTTGCATTGTAGTATTTCTTGTGTACCACTCTGTTATTTAATGAATGTGATTATTTTATCTTTCTAAGAATACCAATGATTGCTGGTATGTATATGTATGTGTGTGTGTGTATATATATATATATCTTTATCTTTTAGTTTCCATGTATTCTATAGTCTTTTTTTTTTTCTTTAAACTCCTTTTTCAAAACTTGATTTTTCTCCCTGCATTCCATATTAGATGCTTTCCTCAAGTGTCTGGTGGTTATTAATTATCTTTTGTTAATGGATTAATGTCTCATACTTGTTGGAAACTTTAGAGTGAGCAAGGGTTGTTGATGGTGGTCTTTCCAGTAGGGTGACCACTCTGGGGCCCTTGTATGACAAAGGAAATGAGAAGTTAAATTCCCAGGGAAGAATTTTTCAGTCACCTGCCTGGAAGGAACAAGTCTCAGTGCCATCCAGAGAAGGGAGCAAGGGACACACAGGCTTCTGCTTGAATGAGGTAGCGAATCCAGTGTCCTAATAGTAAATGAATTGGTAGCTAGTTATCATACCCTCATACACATATTTTTCCCTCGCTTTCAGAGGCCCTGGTTTCTGCCAGTTCCTACTGCTTTTTGTAGTCCTGCAGTGTGAAATGAATCCTTGATCTAGTTTTTCCACTGCTCGGTTTGGATTGTCCGTGTTCCTTTGATAGCCACTGCTGAGTTTCTTTCTAGGCTTCAAATAGTGTTGTTACTGAACCCCTCCTCTCTTCCCCCGTGGATTTATGATTGTTTCCCCTATGTCTTCACTGTCATATTCATAGGATTTTTGGCTAGAGGAGGAAAATGAGAGAATTTGATACTCTTGATGAAAACCTTCTCTCATTCCTCAATTACCCCAGTCTGCTTTTACTAACAAATTCCAAGTTACCCGATTCAGTACCCCTTTCCTGCCCTCATTTATTTAATTTCTGCTATATTTGAAAAAATTTTCTTCAACCTCACTGAGTTTGTGATTCTCCTGTCTGGGTGTCTATAACACACCAGCTTCTATCTGGGTCCCACTGCACATTATACCTTACGTGAGTCCCAAGGATCTCATAACTAATCCCTTTGCTTTTTGGGCCATTACTCTTGTCTACTTGATTTACTTTCACAGCAACCTTCCAGTGGCTCCAATTATTCTTAGACCTGAACTCATTTTCCTGGCCAAACTATGTGAACCAGTGAAGCTTTGCATGCTTCCGCTTTCTCTTGTGGGGCCACTTTTTCACTGGCCTCTAGGCTTGGCTTCCAATTCCTATTTGGATGATTTGACAGCCTTATTCTAGTTTGAGAAGCTGTGCTTTCTTTGGATGCTCCTCATACCAGTATCTTTTACACCTTTCGGTTCTCAGCTCAAATAACATTCAGAGACAGGACCACACTTTACAAAGTAACCCAATCACTACTGAATTACCATGTTTATTTTCTCTATTGTATTTACTACCATTTGAAATTATTGTTTTACCTATCTTTTATGTGAAAACTTGTCTTTTGTCTCCATTAAAAGATCATCCTCAAAATAAACAAACAAACAAAAAAAAAGGTTAAGGCCGGGCGTGGTAGCACAAGCCTGTAATCTCAGCACTCAGGAGGCTGAAGCAGGAGGATAGCTGTGAGTTCAAGACCAGCCTGGACTACACAGTGAGCTCCAGGTTTGTCTCAACTACATAGTAAGACCCTGTCTAAAAAAAAAAAAAAATCATCCTTAGGAAGGCAAGATAATGAAATCCATATCACAATTTAGGTAGATGCTGTACATCTTTTACATAAACTTACATTTTTCAGGGATGCTAGATTAAACAGAATAGATATCAACGTTGAAAGGCTACAAATGTAAGATTGAGGAATGAAGAGGGAAAATGGGAACAGACAGACTGAGACAATTATGCAGATTTTGCTTGATGATCAAGT